CCTTTCTGTATAATGACTCTCTTCTGCACCTGGTGCACGGAACCCAGAATGTACAATAGCGGAAGGGTGGCCTTGTGGGAAAGGCTCGGGACTGGGGCTCGGGAGACTTGGTGTCCAATCCTGCTTCTGCCACAGGCTCCCTCTGTCATTTTGGATGTCAGTCTTTCGCTTCCCCATCTGTAAAATGGGGAGAATACTTCCCTAATTCACAAAGGTACCGTGAGCATAAATATCTTAATGACTGTGTGGCACTTAGATACTGGAGCTATGACCCAATTAGACCTATCTAGACAGATACCTGCGAGAGTTTAATAACCCTCTTCAATTCAGAGGAAACAATATTCTGCAAAATCTCCTTGGCTCTCTGAAAGTTTGGCAGCAGCTTTCTACTCTTGTCTGTAAGCAGAGTCAACGCTGCGGATTGGATGACTTCTGTTTTAGTGCTATAGGCCCCCCCAAAATGTGCCACCCCAGGTCTACGGGGTGTGTGCTGTTGGGATCTGTTTTGGCTGATGATAGAGGAGTTGGAACATGAGTTATCTGGCTGGCTTTGTACCCTTAACTATTATGTGGGTTATGGATAAAAAAGAGCAGCTTGTTTATTGTGTGAGGGCAACGTGCCAAAGAGCAGAATGAGAATGTGTGTAAGCTGCTGGATATAAGCCTACCGAGGGACAGCGTTGAATTAGACCTCTTTGGGACTGGTCACATGGCACCATCCAAAAGTTTGAGGTCTGGTATCTTAAGTCTGGTATCTCCGGTGCTGAGCGTATGATTTAGAAGTAATGACAGAGTCAGTGTTTTCATGGGATGCCATCTGATGGTGGCTTGTCCTATTGCCAACGAACGTGATGGGTCCTAGAAATAAACAAACAAACAAAAACAGAACACAACTGGGAGAATCTCCCACACGCCCTGGAGACCACAAGGCTGGATCTTAGCAAAGAGCCCGAAATGGCGGTAAGCCCCAGGGTACAAATATAAGTGCCTGGTGGGTGTGAAAACAGCAGCAGCTGCAGATCTCCGCTGGAGTTCGAACACACGGGATGGGAAAAGTGTATACACGAGCGTCTGCTGGTGTGAGTAGCGGAGTTACTCTCTGACTGGAGAACCTTCATCTGGACGTAACAGGGCCCGGGGCTCTAGTGGGGCAATAAGCAGTGCATATGCCTCTATTTCATGAGACCTCAGGAGCCTTGTGTCTGTAGGAAGCCCGCAAAGTGATGCATTTGGCAGTAGACTGTATCTTTCTGAGGCCGTTTGCTGCAATATGATTAGTACTCCTTGCTGTTTAAAATGAGCTGTGTCGGGGGTTGGGGAGGGAGGAAAGGAGTGAAATCGGTGACGTTTCCTTAAAAGGTTCCAAACCACTCAGCCTTTCAAGTTACTTTGACATGAGCAACCGGCGTATGTTTGTCAGCTTTGCCCACCTGAGTGTGAAATGATGTTCTATCAAAACACCGGTTTCAGCATTTCCCTCTCCGCTCCTGACACGTGAACCCTGCTGCGGACAGTAACTGCTGCTTTCTGCCCAGGAATTTCACTGATATTGCAGTACAAGTGGAAACATTTGCTCAGTGGTAATGATGGGGTCTGGCTCAAGCAAGCAAGGCAAGGTTGGAAGGCTATGATTGTGAAGGACTAAATAGCATCGCTCGCTGCATTTTTTTCTCTCCCCCCCCCAGTCAAATGATGGAGTCTTAAAGTCACAACGTCCCTTTTGTCAGTAAAACTGCCTGCTTTATGCTATCTAATTTCTCAATTGAAACAGCAAATGACAGTGATGCTTATCGGTTAATAGGCAGGGAGGCTGCACAGAGTAGCAGAGCCAGAGTAACACAGCACTCTTTATTTATCTATTTATTTATTTAATTTATTTAAAAAGCGCGCCGAAGATGCTGACTTTAAAGCCGCGGTCTGTAGTAGAATCAGAGGGCTGTTTGTATCTGTCAGGGGAGTTTGGTTTGTTTGTTCCACTGGGCTATTCTGCATTTATACAATATAAAGCTGCGAGGGAGACAGAAGACAGAGCTTCTCCCTCCCACCCCTCTGTGTTATTAACATGCAATATTGAGTTTTCACACTTAAAACAGCTGATTTCTCTCTGACCTAGTGACCGTGGCACATTGTCGTTGGAAGAAGCTGTGCCTCTCCGGAGCCACTGGCCTCCCCCTGTCGTTCATTACGAAACGGCTCGCACCAGAACCTAAACTGCCCCACTTCCACCTTCTCTTGCGCCTCTCGGGCTGGCTGCAAATCTGCATCGCAAACAAAGCTCGGCCCCAGTGAAGAATTGCTCTTCCTCACTCCTCCTCACTGTGTTCGGTCATGTCCGAAGGGCGTGCGGGGCACAGTTTGTCCCCAAGCGCCATGTTTTTGGCACCTTGTGCATTTTCAGTTGAGCCTTTCCAGGATTCTAGCCCTGCCATCTTGCTTGCTTCTAGTCCAGGGTTCGCCAGTTTTTTCAAATGTCAGCTCCGTTTTTCAGAGAGTTTGGGGGTTGTATTTTTTTTGAGTCTGTCCTAGATTAAACAGTTCTCTCTCTCTCTCTCTGTCTGTTGGACGCTCCAGTTTCAGTTCCATAGTTAAGGCTGAGTTGAGCTTTGCGCTGAAAGTACAAATTCAACCACTAAATACAGCTACACCTCTACCCCGATATAACGCTGTCCTCGGGAGCCAAAAAAATCTTTCTGCGTTATAGGTGAAACCGCATTATATTGAACTTGCTTTGATCTGCCGGAGCGCACAGCCCTGCCCCCCCCGGAGCGCTGCTTTACCGCGTTATATCCGAATTCGTGTTATATCGGATCATATTATATTGGGGTAGAGGTGTATTTCACCTTCCTCCCCCAAATTGCAATACTTATTCTGACTAAATAATGAATTTTCTGAGACTTTTCCAGTTAATTGGATAATTAGCTTATGAGTTAAAATGGATTTTAAAAGTGGGCCCTTAAGAAATGTAGCCCCATGTATCTGACTTTTTGGTGCTGAATGATCTTACTCATGAGCTAATGTAGGTTCTTCCAGTTTCCCATATGGTTAAAACTGACTGAAATCTCATGCAAAGGTTACGTTTGCAGATAGCATTTCAGGATGAATGGCCATCGTTTGCTGTTTTTCTTTGTAATTTAAAGTTGCCTCTTTAGCAGAGGATGGCTGATAAGTAATGGTCTTGTACCGCAAATTCCACAAAGTAGTCACCTTTTTCAAAATGGCAGCCATCTCCGATCATTTCCAATAGGAGTGAAGATAAAATTGCCTGTAGCAAAGATGCCCCTTTTCAAAATGTCCACCTGCCTCTCATTGTTTCCACTTAGCAGTGAAGCCAAGCTCCCCTCAGCCAAGACGGTGGCCTCCTGTGTGGGTTTTCAATGTTAAATCGGTCTAAATGTAGTTTAATAAGCTCCCTTCCTTTTGGGATTTAACTGATTGCCTCTTTAGCTCTTCATCTCCCTGAGTGTTGCAGGAAACAGTGCTGAGTCTGGATCTCTTATGTGGAGGGCATTTGGCAGGCTAGCCAGAGGCCCTTGGCCAGGGTTAGACATCTCGTCTGCCTGGGTGTTTCTAATGCAGACAGTGTGGGAAATGTGTGTGTGTGTGTGTGTGTCCCACACTCCCTTGTATTGCTCTGTGAAAGTGCAGGTGCAGTTCTTGTGGTTTTGTTAGCTGTCACCTTCAGGAAAGTGATGTCAAGCCATTCTTTAGGGCTGTTTGGGAATGCTGTTTATGTAATATGCGCGTGTGTGTGTGTGTGTAAAAAATTATATACACACTGTAAGTGTGTCACAATATTAACAATAATCTCTAGAGGCCGCTATTAAGACTGCTGCCCCTTGGTGCTAATACTGCAAGTGTACACAGATAGAGGCAGTTCCAGTCTAAACGGAGAAATCAGATGAAGGGGATAGGGCATACAAATAAGTGCTTTCCTCTGCAGCCGATGAGTCTCTGTCTACTGTATAAATGTATCATTCATAATAGTCTAGTCTGCGATGTGCATGTGCACAATATTTCTTAGGAAACAACTTACATATTTAATAGACACAGGCCCAAATCTCAGTCCAGGTCTGAATTTCATCTCGCTCATTAATTAATTAACTAGACAGAGAAGGGTCCCTCTCCACCCCAAATCCCAGTGAAATCATGGCTGAGCAGCTGCTGGCCTCACTGAGTTTTGGGTGATCGTCACCTCTGATTTTATTTAAAAATCTTTGGTTTAATAATCCTAGACGACGTTAGCAGCACCGGCAAGGAGGTAGTTTCTCTTCTGTGAGTTTTACCTGCCTCTCTACTTTGAGTGCAACTGGGAGCTCAGAACGTAGCCCCGTCCGAATGCTTTTTCCTTAAGGGTTCTCTAGATTGCCAGGACCACATGAATTTCTGTTTTGCAGCTGAAGTTTGTAAATAAATTCCCCCCTCACGCACACCTTCCCTGACTACTTAGGTTTTAAGCTTAAAAATAAAAGAAAGAAAACCAGCCTATGATATGGTGATTTTTAAAGGGAAACTCGCTTCTCTTATCAGAACTGCTGCATATGTGATATTAATTGGAATCTTGTTGCTGGGTCATTTTCATTGTTTTTCAAGTACCGTCAAATCCAAGAAAATGTATGAAAACTAAATTATAGTCCCACATAGGCTGTCTGATTGAATCCTCCTTATGGCATTGCATTCTCATACAGCCTATTAAAATATTCAATCTTGTTTTCTTACTCGAAGAGGCTGTCTGTAAAGGGCAAACTTATAGAAAACCTCATTCCCTAGAGAGATGGTATCCAGCCACACTGAAATATTTACATATTTCTGTACTGCATGTGATTGGTCTTACGCAAGTTCTTCCCTACACTTGTATTTATTAATAAAGATTGTTGTATGCATTTTTAATTATACGACGGCCTTTTCATTTGAAGCGGCGGACGGTAGCGCCGCCTGCCTCTTGCTTCCAATTTGACCTTGAAAAGTTACTCCCCTCCCCCCCCTTTCTCCCTTTTTCCCAGGACGGAGCTTTATCGATCGTTGTTTGGCAAAATCACGCATCCCGAAGAACCCAAGCAGAATTAGCATCGAGCCCTTGCAGAAGGAAAACATATGCACAGACACTTACTTTCGTTCTCTGCGGTTGGCTAAAGCCCAGTGGGATCCTTCGTGTGCATTTGGACTCTTGCCTCTGTGCTGCCGGAAGCGGCCGCCACGTTGTCACATCTGGTCCGTTTGATACGGGGCAGTTTGTAGCTCAGAGCTCTACTCCCGTGGTTCATTTAGTGATGGCCGCAGTGGGGTTCACTGAGAGAGCTTTTAGCCAGGCGGTAGCCCACAACTTGGATTTCCAGACCGGCGTGAAGTGGATAATGTCATGTCCAGGGAAGTGCCAGCACCCTTCCCTTTTAAGTTCACTCAGAAAGCGTGTATTGTCTTGTCTGTTAGGATGTCTTGTAATTTGCTGAGGATTATTTTATTTCATGCAGACGCCATAGCTGAATTGTGCAGTATCAAATCAGAGTTAAGAAGGAAATGTACCCTGGCAAGAGGGCACCCCCATATGTTTTTTGCAATTCAGTTTAGAATCTGTCCCTGCCAATTAAAGAACATACAATACCCTTCCCTTTTCGATCATCTTGTGTTTGTGGCCCTGATCCTGAAATCTGATCCACACCAGTAGACCCTCACGCCTGTCTAGAATCCCACTGAAATTAGGGGGGCTCGGAAGGTGGCTGTTTAAGCAGATCATACTGCAGAATGGGGACCTACGTTTGTGTTAAACCAACTTCCTGAACCTTTGCTTGCAATGCACGGTTCTGCGGCAGTATTTTCGAATGCCGCAGCTGTGCATTGACAGAGCCGATGGCTAAAATGCCATTAACATGGCTGGAAAAAGGCGCTCCCCATCCATGGGTTGCGTGAATTCCAAAGAGTCCAAACGCCTGGGCTTCCCAAAGCACTGCTTATTGTGCATAAAAGGTCAGTCATGGAACGGCTCCCAGCTGAACGCATGCGCATGACCAGGGATATTTTTGCAATTGGAAAATGTTTGTGAATTTTCAGTTCAGCATTGATCGTGAACACCATTATTTTTGCCGATCAGGATGCTTTGAGGCCTCGTCCGTTTCTCTCCACTAGTGACGCACTTTCGACAGAGGTTAGCACCGGTGTAAATCTGGCAAGAGGAGATGATTCACTTGTTTTTTTACATCGGAAGGTCAAAAGCTGAGAATTAAATCCCCATAAGGGGGATTTATTAGCCTGCTGTGACCAATCTCAGATGAAGATTATCTTGCATAAATAATGTGTGCATATGTTTGTAGTATAACAGCGAGATGGCCATTGCATTGACTTGTTTAACTACATTGGCTCTGTTTTGTTCTTTAACTAATCTGATTAAAATAGCCTGTACATTGACTAACCAAGTGTTGACAGTGCAGTGAATGCATCTGGTGTGTCTGAATGTGGATTTGAGGGATATATGCTAGTTTAATTAAGCAACTCTCCTCAATGGTTTGTTTTTTTTAAAAGTCTTTAACCTGTTACTTATTTTAATGCACAACAAAGGAGTCTGTGTTCTTTTGGTTCATTCAAATTACATTTACAGAGCATCTGTCATGTCAGGATCTTGAAGACTTCTGCGACCATTGCTTAAATCTCATGACATCCCTAAAGGGAGGTAAGCATTGTTCTAGCCATTTCACAGATGGACTAACTGAGAAATGAAGAGGCCACTGACACAAGATCAGTTGGTGAGCTGAGTCCTGGCTCCCACAGCTGTTTTAATTGGTAGAGAAGCATTGAATCATTAGTCACATCTTGATGCATTGACGAGGTGATCCTAACAAAGAAGATTGCAATGCTAGTGATATATTCTCCATCTGAATTTGAGAACTTATCTCAGTTCTTTGGCTTGCTGTAGTATGTGGTAAATTAATAAGGACAATTAATAACATGTGCATGGTGCTTTTTATCTTGAGGAATGTCAAAGCACGTCTACAAAAATGTAGAGGTACGTCATTTTTTTTGCATGTTTATTCGATCATTTAAAACGGTCTGTTTTGCTTTGACGTTTGTCTGTAATAAGACAAGGATTATAAAAAGTGTTCCCTTCTTTGGAACTTCTGAATGTTCATCCAGTGGGGGTTGGGTGAAAGCACTGGCCAAAATGTTCAAAAAATACCGACCTGTAGGTTCCTAAATAAGTGGCCTGATTTTACCCGAGTGGCCGCTGTTGGGAGCTCTGCCCTGCTGGAAATCAGGCCAGTTATAAACTAGTACATCTGAGCAGGAACTATTTCAGCTTTGGTTATAACATAACCTCCTGGGGTATTTTATACATAATATGTTTACTTGTGGTCACCTAATCAGGTGGATGAAAGATATTAATACTGGCTTCTATAAATATGACAATCCGCCAGAATTTATGGAGTATAGGATTTCCCCCCACTATCGGTACACCCTGCATAACACTGAAATATCAGTTACTCCAAAATATTTAGAGAAAATATGCTTAATTAGCTAGAACATATGAAAGGTATGAGACAGCAGAGATGGTATAAAATACCTAATCATACAAGGCCGTTTTAGAATTCAGGATACCACCCTCCTTCCAGCAAAGAATAAATTGGAAACTATTTTAATTGACACGGATCCTGCTATTCAACTGTTACCTGAAAGACAGATTAGTTGATTGATTTGCATTTTAATAAAATCTAATACTTTATTTTTGCGTGTGGGGCTAATGCTGATTTTTAAATGAGTTCAGAACTGTTATCAAGACGGAATTCAGAGGCTTTTTTAATGAAGCATCCCTTTCCTTTTGTGTGGAGTTGACTTATTTTATTTTGCTAGGAACGCCAGGATGGCGTGATCCAAACTCTATGCCCCAGTATCAAGGAACACGAAGAACAGAAAGTTACCAGTAAGCAAAATATTTTCTTTTTTTCAAGTTCATACTGGAGGCTGATTGAAAATTCAGGAGATTGAATCCTCAGTCTCTTAGTTACAGGGTAAAGGCACTTCTATTTCGGTTAAATGCAGAACACGAATAGATTCAGTTGCATCAAACTTGCATCTTATAACCAATAGGGAATTAGAAAATGGCTCAGTTCTTAGCTTTAAGTAAACTTGGGCAGAGGGTTCCAAAGATTCACCTTTACGATGCGTTGCAGCCGGGCAATAGACATTCGCTCCATTGTTCAGCTCATTCAGAAATAAGCTGGCCCCACTCTCCTTGGCACTCGGCACCCAAGATTTGTCTAGCATCACAGTAGCAGCGTATTGTAGAACAGTAACATGGCCGCATAACAATACGGAAATGCCAGTGCTGAAACTGATGAGCGTGTTGCATCATGATCCTTTGCTGGCCACCGTCCAGTTGTGGCCCTCTTGATCAGTGGGTGGGGAACGGTTCCTGTCCCCTGTAGAAAATATAACATTTTTCTTGGGTTTATAAAATATCCGTGTCAAGATGAGCATTGACTTTGTCTTACAAAATGTATGTAGCGTGGATGAATAAATCTTTGTCCACTTGCAGCAAAGCAATGGTTGTAGGTAGCACAGAAGCACATTGGTTTTTTTTCTCTCCTATCTTTCCAGGGCTCTGACCGGTCAAAATTTGCCAGGCAGAAATGTAGCAAATGTCACTGTTGCTCTTGGATCCAAATAATGACCTTATGCTGTGAAGTTTGCAACAGTCTCATGCCCTCGTACATTGCAGGGAGAGCTGGCTGGCTGAGTGGCGAAATCCAGCCACAAAGAATCAAGGGTAAGTAGTGCTACTTAACTAGTGCTGTGGGGGGGGTGGACAAAGCCTCTATACTTGTATTGTGTCTTAGGCTTGGTCCACACTGGGGCGGGGGATTGATCTAGGAAACGCAACTTCAGCTACGAGAATAGCATAGCTGAAGTTGACGGTTCCTAGATCGAACTAAGTTTACTTACTGTGGGTCCACGTGGCGCAGGCAAGCTCCCCCGTTGACAGCGCTTCCTCCTCTCGGCGAGCAGGAGTTCTGCAGTTGACGGGGGAGCGCTTCTGGGATCGATTTATTGCGTCCAGATGAGATGCGATAAATTGATCCCAGAAGATTGATCTCTACCCGCCGAATCAGGCGGGTAGTGTGGACCTAGCCTTAGGAGGAGGGGGAGGAAGAGGAGAAGCATTACAGCACATGTAGGTCACAGTGAGCAGAGGGAAGGCTGGCTTTATCGAAGCAGGCTTCAGTGTAATAGTGTGTTGAGCTATATCGTGTCAATTAACAGGCTAATGTTTAGTAGAAAGAAATGTAGCCTACTGATCAGAGCATGCCTGTCGGTCCTAAAACTACAGGCTGCAAAAGTAGCCATAGCCGGTCACTGTGATCTGTCTTACAGTGTGACAGTCTGCTGTGGCTAATGCAATGAAGTCCTCCACATCATTCCTTATCCCAAGCATTGCTCATAAGCCAACACAGCAGCAGATCTGGTTTATTCCCCCCCACCCCGACATACCAGCAAGACCGTGGGCTGACACTCCAGAAGTATTTCCCCCGCATATTGAACAATACCAGCACTTATTTTCTGAACAGCTAAAAGCCTCTGACATGTGGTCTGCCAGCATCATTACCAAAAAGCTCATGGTTTAATTGCCACAATTCTGAAGGACATGAAGCGGAGGAAATTAGCCGCTTCCCAAGTTGACGTCGGCGGAATGGTTTCACGCCGCGTACGCAGTCAGAGCAAACATTAAGGATGTTTCAAAGGAAGCCAGGCGCACGTATCCTACATTGGGGTTTACCGCTCCAACAAGTTGGCCGGCGTCTCTTCTCGGCGTAGGATTATGTTGCTTTGACTTGAGGGAACTGACTGTACATGCCCAGTTTAAAATTCCTTTTCAGTTTGACTCCTGCGTCCTTTAAAGTTGTAGCTGCAGCACTTGGTTTGAAGAGCTGGAGGTAATGTTAAAAGGGTCACGTGAAACACTTTAAATGTGATAACTTCTGGTTCATATTGTTTGAAGAGATAAGAGCGATTCAAAGCCCTACTAAGGATGCTTTTGAATTTACTTATCAGCATTTAAGCAGGCTTTTTCTTCCCCCCTACCTGGTTAGTGTGATATATCAAGGGAACCTTAGAAAGCAGGGTTTAGCCTGCAAGGACCCCGTTTCATCTGCTAACCTTGCCGGTAAGGTCAGTTCTTTATTCCTGATGTGAAAATGGTACGTTTCCAGGATTTGAATATGCTGGCAAGAGAAACGCAGCCCGTGTAATTCTTGAGTAGGGGTCAATCAGAGCCATCTACAGGAGCGTCTCGAGTGGTTACTTGGCCGAGTCCAGCGGTAGGGCAGCCTGCAGTTAATCAGCTCTGCCCTCGCTAGGAGGTGTTATTGTGGTCAATGTGAATTACTGCAGAGACCAGCTAGGACGCAAAGCTTATTCCGACAGCAAAAAAGGGCAAATTACCCAAGGTCTAAGTGTTTCATAGGCTCAGTAAGTACCTCAGAGTTCTGGAATTCAGTCTGGGCTGTAAATTCCATGTTGTAACTAAGGAGTCTTTTTTTCCTGGGTCTCCCCTAAACACAGACTCGATGGGCCTGCAAAATTCAAACCTTAATAGAAATCTACCCCAGCCACTGCCGTTCTATTAAATATTCAGTCCTGATTTCCATTCCAGTATTGGGCTAATGTTGGCTGCCCAGTGCTGTGTC